TATCTTAGCGAGTTCGTTGAGTCGACAGCCTTGTTTTCGGCATTTGCATAACCCACACTTGTGAATTGAGTGATAGAAACACCCGGGGGGGGGCGATCTAGAAGCAAAATCCCTCTTGGAGAAGATCTCTAGTGGAAAAGTAGAGAAATGCTTGAATGTGTATCCCGATTCGAGTGTTAGATACCATGACCATCTATTCATACCGGAGTCTTGTCCAGAAGAAGTACATCGAGAGTTCCACCAGTCACGTCTTGCGGTGCATCTGGGAGGCACAAAGATATATCACGACTTTAGTTGCTAGTTTTGGTAGAAGAGAATGAAGAAAGATATGGCCATGTTCGTATCGAGGTGTCTTATTTGTTAACAAGTAAGGGCCGAACATTAGAGGCCAGTGAGTTTGTTGTAACTCTTGCCTATAATCAAGTGGAAGTGAGAGCACGCCACGATGGATTTTGTTGTGGGTCTTCTTAGGACTCAACGGGGTAGTAATGCGATCTGGGTGGTAGTTGACTAGTTGACCATGTTGGTACATTTTATACCTGTACGCATGAATGACTTGGTAGATTATCTTGCTGATCTTTATATTAAGGCCATAGTGAGGTTGCACAGGGTCCTCATAACGATTGTTTCGGATAAAGATCCACATTTTACGGCTCGGTGCTGACAAAGCATACAGAGTGCCTTGGGTACGAGATTGACTTTTAGTACTGTGTATCATCCTCAGACTGATGGGCAGTTTGAGCTTACTATTCAGATCCTTGAGGATATGCTTTGGGGTTGTGTTCTTGACTTTAAGGGGTCGTAGGAGTGACACTTGTCTTTAGTGGAGTTTGTCTATAACAATAGCTTCCAGTCGAGTATTAGCATGACATCGTTTAAGGCCTTGTATGGCCAACTGTGTAGATCCCCTATGTGTTGGGCCGAAGTGGGTAATGCACCTATGTTGGGTCTAGAGTTAGTCCGAGAAACGACGGAGAAAGTTGTACTTATCGATAAAAGGTTAGTCACGGCCTAGAGTCGCTAGAAAAGTTACTCCGACCACAGGAGCAGACCCTTGTCTTTTGAGGTGGGAGATTATGTCTTCTTGGAGATATCACCTAGGTGGGGTTGATGAGGTTCAGAAAGAGTTGGAAGTTGTCCTCTCGATTCATTGGGCCGTTTGAGATCCTTAAGTGGATTGAAGAGGTATTGTTTGACTTTATCGCCACAACTTTTCGTTGTCTATGATGTGTTTCATATTTGTATGCTTTAGAAATATGAGCCGGATCCATTGCACATATTGGATTGGACTGACTTAGAGATAGATGAGGATGCCTCATATGAGGAGAGATCGGTAAGAGTCTTGGATACTTGAGACCAAGTCTTGCGAGATAAGACAATTCCTTTGGTTAAAGTATTGTGGCAATATCACGGAGTTGATGAGGCAACTTGGGAATGTGAGTTGGAAGTCCGTGAGAAGTACCCGGACCTATTTAGTAATGTTTGAGCATATATTGAAACTTTTATTATGTTGGCTAAATTTAAACATTGTATATGTTTTGGAAATATGAATTGTATATTTAGTATTTAGAATTTGTTTATCATATTGATGAAAATGAATGACTAGTGGATGGGTCATGGTATTGGAAACGATTGATTGTTATCGTTGTGATTGGTGTAAACATGGTTTTAAAGTTTAAATTGAAATTTCGAGGACAAAATTCCTTAAGGGGGGAGATTATAAAAATTATGGTTTTAGATCCGACCCATTTGATATTATGGACTCGAGTTTCATGGTTCTGTATTATTGTTCTTGTCTTATTCTTCTTTTCCCTCATTGAGTTTGGCTATTGGGTTGTATTGGTTACGTTAGGAATAGGTTGGTAGCTTGGTTTTCAAACTTTTGTTGCCTAGAATTTTACTCTTTCACTCGAGCATCACTTCTTGCGCTCGAGCGGGCTTTGTGAATTCTCAGTATTTTTGCAGGTTTGCAAAACTACTAGGAGAGTGTATTTTATGCTCGAGTGGTGCTTCCTGCGCTTGAGTGGCCTCGGCTCAAGCAGCCCTTCTTGAGCTCGAAAATTGGTTTTCTGTCTGCAAAACTATTGGAAGTGTGTATTCTACGCTCGAGTTTCACTTCTTGCATTCGAGTAGACTGTGTTTATTTCAGTTTGTAAAAAGGTCATTTTACATCACTTTTTTGTATGTTTCTCTTTCTAAACATTTCAAAACTCTAAAGTTGAGACATTCTCTCCCTATGACTTACTTTCTCTCTACAAATACACCAAGATCTACCCATTTCTCTACCCTACTCCCTTTGTTAAAAAAGTAGAGCTCACCAAGAGTTTCATTTTCATCTGAATAGAGTTGGGTTTCGGCTTCATATGAGTTTCATTCATGCCTTTCTCATCTCCTAGCTTTGAGGTAGGGATTCTCTACACTCTTTTATGATTTTTAACTTAACTATTTGTTTTTTATAAACAATATTGTGATTTTGGAGGATTTTGAACAAACCTAAGGTTTTGTTTAAAATCAAAAGAGGGGTTTTCAATGGTTATGGGAGTGGAAATTAGTTTGAGTTGTGAACAAATCATTGATTTTGACCATTGGGTTGAATTTTGGAAGAAAAAGGGTTTTGCCCTAAATGTCCAAAATATTTATTTTGTATAAATAAATGGCATTAAAGATGAAAATGTGAAATTGGAGATATTAATATGGATGGTGGAGTTGGATAAGTATTATCGCTTACTTCTTGAATTTTGGAAAGCTTATCTATATTGGAGATTTTATATCCATATAGAAATATCTGTTTTGGGCTATCAGTAGAGGATAACTATGATTGTTGTAGAAATTTAATGAGGATTAGGTGAATTGAAACTAATTTATCATTCACGTGCATTGAACATTTGTTGCTCATTTAATACATTATAAATGTATATGATTTTGAGAAAAATGAGTGAATGTTGGAAAAATGTGTGTATCACCAAATTAAATTGGCATGTGTGTCCAAGGTGAAAGTCCTGAAAAACGAGCATATACATGGATGTCGATTCCCGTGCATGAAATATCTGTAAAATGGCTATAGTAGTGCTTGTATAGACTACGTTTACATGGGTACAATTTGACAGTTTCCCGAGGACGAAATATCCGTGAAAAGTTGTACCGGTTTAAGAATTTCTCCCTTGTTTCTAATGGTAAAGGATATGATTTGAAAATTGTGATATAAATTGAGGATGGGATGGTTTTGAGAAAGAAATGTAAACCGTTTTGATACGAGCATTGCATATGCATTTCACCCTTATATCTTTGTTAAGATTCATATCTTGTGTTTGATTATTTCTACTAGGTTTTGGCTCACCCTATATGGGAAAACCATTTTCATGTGTTGGTGAGATGCCTCCACCAAGGACTTAGTTTGGGAAGACTGTAGAGCTGAAGGCTCAGTTTTGTTATTTTGTATTTAATGTTTGAACAAGCCTAAGATTTTATTTGTATTGAACTTAAAACTCACTTTTGATGTACGTAAGCCTTGACTTGGAAACATAAAAGCCTTTAGGGCATATTATTACCTGTTTAGCTTTTATTACATTATTACTGTTTCGTAACATATGTTGTAGATTTAGGATTTACTATTTATGAATTTATATCGGATGCGTTACCATTTTGTACAACCGAATCTCATGCAATAGAAGGATATCATACTCTGATTCATATTGTTATTTATTTATCGTCTTGGATGGTTTATTACATTTATTTCGGGGCGTTACAAAAATTATTTGATAAAATTTTAAATTCTGAACTAAAAATAAATTATTCAATATGTATAAGATTCAAAATTTATTATTTTTAGTTTGTATATTACAATTTTTATATTGTGATGGTGGTGGTGGTGGTGTGTGATAACCCAATTTGTAATAAACTTAATTACGCATGTGATTATGCGTTTGATATGAATTTGTATGTTTAATTATGTGAGTTCTTACGTGATTATGAATTTATATCTGTTAGATGTAGAAAAATCTGTTGTAATTGAAACTTTGAACTGAGAATTTATAGCCTTAAAGGCGCCAGAAACCAAAACTGACTTTACATCTGTGTTTAGCATGATTTCTAGAGTCTGCGGTGAAATTTGGTAAAATTTCGATTAGTAATGAATTAATCGAGTTTAATTAGTATAAACCTTAGATTAAGCCAACCACATTATGTACATGATTTAATATTTAATTGATTAAGGAGATTTGGATTCTAATTGGTTGTTACTCTAAGGTAATTTGGGATTTATGAGAATTTCGGAGTCTAATTCGTATTTGATTTTAATAAGGATTTGTTTTGAAATTAGAAATTGAATGCCCAAATGGCTTAAGGAGGTAAAATTGATGAGTTGATTCAGTTTAATTTTAAGTATCGGACCATATGAGAGTTTAATTAAATATTCGATTCAGTTTAGTAAAATTGAGATTTGATTAATTAGGTTTGAATTGGAGTTAATTAAATGAATTAAATTATGAGGATTTGGAATTGTAATTATTTGGAATTAAATTTACTTATGAGGTGTCCAATCTAAATATGTAATTTATTGATGAAATTTTTAAAATTTAATCTAAAATTGAAGGTCTTAATGATTTAAGAAACCAAAATTAAGGTTGGAAATAAGTTTAATTTAATATTTGAAGCTTTTTGGGGATTTGATTAAAAATCTGATTCAGAATGATAAATTTAAATATAATTAATTGGGCTATAATAGAAGTCAAATTAGACTAATTAAATTATATGAGATTTGTGATTGGTTATAATTAATTTAATTATGGACTAACCAAGATTTAATAAGATTAAATGATACTTAATTAAATTAAAATGTGATTAATATACTCAGTTATTCCTACTCAATTAACCTGATGGAGCAAAATTAGGAGAATTCTAGAAGAATTGAGAAAGTAGTGTGTGTGTGTGTATGCACCGTATATCCCTCTGCTGGAACCTATTCAACTATTTAACATTCCTATTCAATTCTTTGACATTCTGAGAAAGAGAGGACCAAGAAAGAGAGGGAGAAAACCGTAAGAAGAACTAAGAAGAGAAGAAAAAGAATTCAAGTTTTGCGCCGGAATTGAAGGAATAACTTAAGAGACTCAACAAATTAATGTTCTAGGTAAGAAAGTTTAAGCTTGATTCTTATAGATTAATCATCTAGCAATTGAAATCAAGTGGTAATTGGGTTTAATTTCATGACATAAGAAAAGAATGTAGAAGATTTAAGTTTGATAATTAAGAAATTGATGTTGTGATTTAATATTTGATTTTCTTCATCCTTCACATATTTGAAGTTTATCCTTACATGCATTGTGAATTTTCAAGATTTTAAAATTTAATTCATATTTTAAAGTTTATGAGTTTGGGATTAAGTTGTGACATAAATTAAGAAGTAAAATTATAATTTGAGCTTGATAATGTAAAATTAGTTGGATTTGAAAGTGTTTTATACATGCAACATGGATTTTGAATAATTTAAGATAACCAATTTCATGTTTTGAAGGGAAGAAGGAAGAAATTTTATAAAAAAATAAAGTTTATGGAAATTTAGGGTTAATCCTAAAGTCAGACAACGTCTTGATTTTACTACGAAAGATAGGAATTGGTTTAATTTTAATTTAAAAGTTTTATTCAAATTAAAAAGTATGAGTTTATGAAGAATGAATTTTAATTTTACATTAAAGAAGTTTTGGTGTAAATGGTTTAAGGAAAATGAGTGAGAGTACTAATTAGTGCTACCAATAATGATGTGGCAGTGGGTCCCACCATGAATGATTTGATATTTTGGTCTTGGTGTTGTATTTTTTTTCTTTCTTTATTGAGTGCCACGTCATTAGTGATATTTTTAGAGTTCCAAAATTAGTGATCTCTATCATTGTTGATGGTTTAAAATCGATCAAGTTTTCTTAATTATTTAAGAGTTTGTATATTTTTGGACATGCCATGTTTAAATCTAAGTTTTGGAATTATATTTTGAAAGCTTAATTCATATTTAGAACTTATGAGTTTGAACTTGAGTTTGATATGGATGAAATTAATTACATTCAAATTTGGACAAATATGAAAATAAATTATAATTTATATTTGAAAATACAAAATTAGTTTGATTTTGATTTAAATTTCATACATGCAAATATTTTTAAAAAGGCTTTATAGCTTCAATTTATGTTTCATAAAGTAAAGAATGATGATTTTTGAAACACGGAGAATTTGGCACCAAATCACACATGCATACATAATTTTGTTAAATCTCATGAATTTGAGTGTCATTTCTACCGTTTGAGGTGAAATTAGGGTCTACATTTCATATGCATGCATAATCCATGAAAATGTAGAATGTGTGTGTCACAACCCGAACTCGCCCCTATGGGTTAAGGCCATAACCGGCTGGTAATCAATAGATTACCTACGGCCTCAAACCAAATAAAACAAAAATCATCATAGTAAAAGGGCCGAACGGAAGCAAATTTAAAACCTTGTCCATAGAGCCGTGCTTACATGCACATCATAACATTCCACATTTACATATGTTAATAACTCGCAATAGAAAGTATAGTAGCATAAGGTTCTATACAGACAGGATCATTCAAATCTAAGTCAGCCAAACAAAACTATACTCAGACGTATACCAAAGTTCTCGCCAACATGACGAAATACACAGAATGGCAAAAGGGCGAAGACGTGTCTCGTGCGTGAGACGCAAGGGCTGACTTTTCAAAACTTTGGTTGTTCCATACAGACTTCACTGAGGCTGGGTCTGGACCTCTCTAGGCTCACCTTCAAACACATGAATGAGCGTGAGCAAAAGGCCAGTGAATAATATCAAATAAAGAATATACATTGGAATAATATACCCCAAACGACCTTGGGCCTAGTTTATATTTCTGACTAATACACACACACATAGACATATGTAAGTTAAGTAACTGCGGTTCCAAACACATCATACGGCCTCGGGCTCAATTCATTCGTATCATTCAGGTCAAACTGGCCTTTGGCCCATTCATACTTTCATGTCAAACTGTTATTCGTGTCAAACTAGCCTTTGGCCCATTCATTTATTCATGTCGAAACGGCCTCTGTTCCATTCATTCATGTCAAAGCGGCCTCTGGCCCATTCATTCATGTCAAACGGCCTCTGCCCCATCCATTCATTCTTGTCAAAACGGCATCTGGCCCATCCATTCATTCTTGTCAAAACGGCCTCTGGCCCATTCGTTCATTCTTATCAAAACGGTCTCTGGCCCATCCACTCATTCTTGTCAAAACGGCCTCTGGCCTATCCATTCATTCTTGTCAAAACGGCCTCTGGCCCATTCATTCAGTATAGCATACATTGTCCACCAATCGAATCAACGAACCTTATAAAACTTACATGGACGTAAGCAATTGGACAATAGGATATTTCAGATATCTTTGTTAAGATATTACTCACAGTGATCGGCTGATTGATTTACCCTGGAGCTTGAGCCTACACATCACATAACACATATGGGTCATAACCGATTCAATCCGTTCTTAATTCACATAATCCTCTTTAGGCTTAATTCTTGTTCTTCTAACTCATTTACAATGCTCAATGTACGCCTAAGAGTACTCAGAAGTGAAAGGGAATGGAAAACGGAACACAGAATGCATTTTCAAAATTTCAGAAAACAGGGCCCCCGCTCGAGCGTGGACTTCCTCGCTCGAGTGGACCCATGAGGTCTGCAAAAGTACTGGATGCATCGAATTTACGCTCGAGCGTGAAGTCTGGCGCTCGAGCTGAAGGTTTGTCTACATAGCTCCCCGCTCAAGCGTGATCTTCCCTGCTCGAGCGGACACCATGTCTGCAAAAAGTTCTGGAAGCACGTATTTACCGCTCGAGCGGCGGTTCCCCCGCTAAATTTCTGGGTTTTCCAGAACATGTTCTTGAGCTCAAATTGACATTCAAAGGCTCCAAAGCTCGAATTAAGGTACCAAAAATGGAGAAATACAACATATAACATGAGTACACAAACAACATGGAGCCAATTTTCAAAATTAATTGACGTTCCTTTTGTATAATTCAAACTCATGTCTTCAAACCTCATACAAGCTCCATACCTTTAATTATTCAAACATGCATGCTAATCTTGACTTCATTTCTATTCCAAATAATGCAAATGGTGTTCATTCTCATAGAACACAACAAAAACAGGCTTGCATGTATGATTTAACACTCATATTTCCATATTCAACTTATTACATGCTTGATTATGCAAAAATCATGGTGATCCTATACATGCATGTGCACATTAACTTCAAATTCATCAATTATAGCACAACTCTTGTTCTTGATCACCAATTAATCTTTAATTCACAAAATCACCAGTTCAAACTTATGAATTTACTCACCTAGGAGCTTTATCTTCCAAGCTTATGCTTAATTCTTGAGTGTAGCTTCAAGATTCCCAAGCATCTTGACCAAACCTTCAATCTCCTACACTCTCTCTCTCTAACTGACCCTCTCTTCTCTTCTTAGAGTAACTTTCGGCTCAAATGAACAAAGAGAGGAATTGAGTGTGTAGTGTCCCTCTTTATAAGTCCCATTAGTCACAATTAAATAAGATTAAACAATTGAGCACTACAACACCAATTTAATCTATTTAATTTGTTCTGAAACAATTTTTAATTAAATTTCACCGTAGGCTCTAAAAATTACGCCAATCACAATGGTGCAGTCAATTTCGGGTTCTGTGACCGATAAGGCCTTCAATTTAATTTCTAAAGCAGATAATCAAATAGATATTCATACGGTGAATAGATAGAAATTCAAAATCACATATTTTCACATAATGGCACACAAAATCATATCAAACACATAATCATATTCACGTTAAGGACCAATTAGCATACTACAGAACAGGGTTATCACAGCCTTCCCCCTTTTAGGAAGTTTGGTCCTCCAAACTTATTTTACCTTTAGTCGAACACAATTCAGAACACTTTTCATTCAACGGTTCCAATCCTTTTTGATAATCGTTTACTTAGTTTCAAAATCAAGCAACATTCTGTTCTTAATCAATCAGAGGCTTACCTTTTCCTCCATACAAGGTTTTGCATGGTGCCACACCGATACCAGAGTGCAAGCTGTTGTTGTAAGCAGAGTCTGCCAACAACGAATAGGCTTTCCAAATTCCCTGAAAGATCTACTGAATATATTTGGAGCATTTCTCCCAAAAGTTCATTCTAATTATATATAGATTTTCGGACTGCAAGCAACGTCGAATCACAATTCAGTCCCCATTACCTCTTGAAGGCTTATCAGAATTCGGGCACATTTTAGGATTCCTGTCTAAAACAATAGATACTGGGACCTCATGCAAACAAGCAATTTTATCAATGTAACCAGTGGCTGGTCTATAAGTATCACACGAAGATTTTACAGGGAGGATATGAGCAAACTTAGTAATTCTACATACAATAACCCAAACATGACTTATACCTTGGGTGCTCAAGGTAGCCCCACAATTAAATTCGTAGCCACACATTCTTATTTCCATTCCAAAAATAGAGATAGGTTGATTTAGTTCTGCCACTGTCTGACATTCGACTTCGACCTGTTGGCACCAAAAAATATTTAGACACAATTCAACAATTTCCTTCTTCACAGTCGGTCGTCAACATTTTTATTTCAAATGCCAACTAACTTTACCATAGGAGTTCGGTCTATTCCCTTGTCACAAAAGTTCAATTCATTCTTCATTAATTCCATAATTCACAATCTGATTTGATGTTTAGTCCAGCGACTCATCACAGTTATCCAAGGTCAACCAAAAGTCTTCAGGAATTTAAAGTGGATCCAGACACTGATTTCGGAGTCAACAAGGATAGCAACGAAACAATCAACCACACGACATACGTAACTCACATATCCCTATAGTATCGATCATAAGGTACAGTAATATCAAAACAGTCAATTTCTAAATCATACACATGCTATCAATTCATTCAACAGTTTACACTTCAATTCGACGTTCAATTCTCTGTTCTATCGAGTCTCCCCACATTATTTGATAGTTGTCAAAAGCATAAAGCAATTCATATACTAATCTCCATGGCGTCAGAGGTAATAACAAAACAGTCAATCACATGTTA